TAATCTTAAAATTTTTATATTTGTGGTTATTCAAAAAAAGAAAAAATATTTAAAGAATTTATGTGACATAATTCAAAGGTTAAAAAAATAAAATTAAGACAAAATAATATTTTTTATAGTTAAATTACTAAAAATACTTTTATGATGCACATCAACCACAATGTTTAAAAAATCATTAAATATAAAATTCTTTATTTATAAATTTATTCTTCTTTAAAAAAAAAGTTTATTTTAAATATAAATATTTTATAATATTTTATAATATTTTATAGTATTTTATAATATTTATTAATATTTAATTAAAAATTAAAAATATTTTTTTTATTTTAAAAATTTTTATACCCCATTATGTCAGTACCTCAAGACAAACAAACTTATTCTCTTGCTGCTTTGTTTATAAATTCATTAAATCTTGAAGTAACACAAGAGAACATGGAAGTAGTATTCAAGCATCTTAACTTGCCTTTCTCTAGAAAATTAGCCTCCTTATTTGAATTAACACCTGCAGAATATAATAGTATAATACAATCTGGATCCAGTGTACAAGTAGCCGTAGCTCCATCAGCTGTTTCTGAAACTAAGACTGAGGAAAAGAAAGAGGCAACTAAGCCAGCAGCAGCTGAGGAGGATGATGACATTGACTTTGGTGATATGTTTGGTTAAAATAAATAATTTTAATTAATTTTTTTTATTTAAATTATTGTATATTTATTTTTTATAAATCAATCAATGTATTATTTAATTTTTATAAGACAATCAATGTACTATTTTTTTAGTAGACATTTGTTAAAGGTTTACATTAAATTCTCTTGAGAACTCAATTAATCTTAACTTAATTTTTTAACATTTAAAAACATGCTTATTAATTTATTTTAATTTATTTTCAAAAAGATAGAACCTGAACATTTTAAATATAATTAAGAAACCAATTAAAAATTCAAAATAAAAATTACAAATATTAGGTAATTTTAAATTTATATAACATATATTTGTTTACTTGTAATACATAGCATTTGTATACTCTACATAATTTATATCAGTCTTATAAATAATATAATTATTTCATAAGAATTTTAAATCATTAATTAATATTTTTTTAAATTATAATTTTAAATATTTTTTACCTAAAATCATTTTAATAAGAGATTTTTAAAATTAAAATTATGTTTAAAAATCTTTAAAATTATAATTTAAAAAATATTAATAATTCTTATAAAGAATATAAATGTTTTAATTTTTAATATTTATACGTAAGTGTTTATAATATTAAATGTTAAAAAAATAAACTATATAAACAAAATATTGTAACTTGCTCCTTCATGATGAATAAAAATTATGAAAGTAAATATTTTATTAAAAATATAATTGAAAGTTACTTCAGCACAGGGAGGATATCCTTGGGTTGTAACAGTAAGTTATATATTCTTACCAATAGTATTAAATTATATTAATGAAATAAAATAATATTAAATATCCTATAAGAATAAATATAATTAATAATACTTTAAAATAAAATATAAATTAAAGAAATAAAAACAATAATAAATTTATAATATTTAAACAATTCATTTTATTTATTATTAATTTGTTTAACAATTGGTTTATTATCCTCAACAACTACCTTAAGCAGTAAATCACCCTGTTTAGCCATCTCATCTCTTAAACTTACTACAATGAACTGAGCCTTAATCTCTTTCTTAAGTAGCTCTCCTATTTGTGAGCAATACTTTACATCCAATGCTGCATCTATTTCATCAAATATATAGAATGGAGAAGGGTTGTAACTTAATGCTGTAAATAATAAACATAATGCTATTAAACTTCTTTGTCCTCCACTCAGTGCATTGATTGATACTTCATTATTCTCTTGTTGTATGTTCAATGTATAATCATCATTTACCTTTATAGTTATTCCTGGTAAAAAGTATTGAATGTACTTAGTAAGGTTATTATTTAAATAAAGTAATGCATTAATTACTGCTTTATTACTGGCTATGCTTAATTTATTTAGTGTCTTAGTAATTTTAATTTTATCATTCTCTAATAAAAGTATTTTACTTTCTAATTCCTGTAATGTTTTCTCATTCTTTTCTAATAAATCAAAATTCTTAGGATCCATTTTATATTTCTTAACATGCTTAATTGTATTGTATTCATTTATCAATGCATTTAGTTCATTAGGCAATGTAGCATAAAATGAAGTATTATAATTTATATTTAATTTATCCAATGATAAATTTAGTTCTTTAATTAATTTAATATTTTTTAAGTTAATTACATCTGATGATTTATCTGATTCATTGTTATTACTAATAACACTTTCTTCACTTGAATCTTCTTTATTTTTAGTATTTTCTTTGTTTTTACTATTTATTTTTTTACCATTTCTGTTGCATAAAACATCAGTAGAACTGATTAAATATTCTTCTGCTTCATCAAATAATTCATTAAACTTAAACATTAGTTGTCTTATTTCATTCTTAAGTTTATAATTATTTTTTATTATTTCTTTCTTTAATTCCTCCCTCTTACTTTCCTCTTCACATTTCTTTAATCTTTCTTTTAATCCTAATAAATCATTTTCTAAGCTTAGTTTTTCCTTTTCTTTGCTTCTTCTTTTAATATTTAATTCATTTATTTCATTGGTTAATTTATCAATCAATGATTTATTTTTTTCATTGATTACATATTTTTTATGTTCATTAATCATTTCTTCCTTTAATTTTCTCTCTAAATCTTTTAAATTATTTGTTTTATCACTTATGTTTTTTATATCTTTGTATTTTTGCAATGTTTTTATTTCTTTTATTAAATCAATTAATTTAATAAAAGTACTTAAATCATTGATAAAGAATGAATTACCTTCTAAAAAATCAATTAATCTTTTTAATAAATTAATTCCTTTAATTGATGAGGATACTTTGTTATTAATTATATTCAATGCCTCACTTACATTTATAAAATTATATTCTTCTATGTTATTCATCATTTCTTCAGTTATAAAGTGTTCAACAAGTGTAATCTTTTCAGGTTCATAATTTCCTACAGTCATAGTTCCCTTAGGATCATACACTGTTCCATCTAGCATTACTGCCATACATTTATGCTTATAACATATTTCATTAGCCATTTCCTTAGTAGTTGCTAAATAAACATTATTAAATATAAACTGCATTGCGTTACCAACCTTCTTATCATACTTAATGCAGTCTAGAAGTGAAGTATAATTGGATAATTTGTTATTTATTCCTCTAACTTTGTTTAGGGGCATTAATGTGATTGGTTGATCAGTCTCTAGTAAAGCACTGGCTATGTCTTCATTATCTACTATTATAAATGATCCTCTGCTACCAAGGATAGAATGTACTGCTGTAAAATATTTGTTATCTAACAATGTAAAGTTATCACTTACTTTTCCATATACTCCTTCTATTAAAGGATAATTTATGCTATTTTTAAGATTATTGTATAAATCCTTTAATTCTTTTAATTTATTTTTTAAACCGTTTATTCCTTGCAATTTAATTGTCTCTTCTTTTAATTGGTCAATTGTATTTAATTCTTTAAAATCAAAATGATTCTTTTCAATGTACAAGAGTATTTCTTTTTTAAATGATTGGATAAAATTGTAATCAAAATATTTTTTGTGCATAATTTGTTCTTGTAATTTTATTTTAACATCAGCTACCACTTCAATTAATTGATCAGTTTTTTTAGAATAATCATTTACCTCCTTAGAAAATATAGCATTAAACTTCTCTTGTATTTCTAAATAATTGTTAGGAATTAATTGTAAAGATTCTTTCAATTTAACTTTCTTTTCTAAATCTTCTTCTACCTCTTCTAAAGAAATTTTACTCAATGATTGGTTAATTTCATCAATGCTTTTTAGTAATAAAAATTTATTTTCTATTTCTTCCTTTGATTCTTCTTTTAATGAATCTAACTTTAATTGAATTTCCTTTTTTATTTCATTTAATGAATTTTTATAATTGATTCTCTTTAATTTATCAATTTTATTTTTTAATTCATTCTTCCTCTGAAAATTCAAATGACTTTCTCTGAATTCTTTTAGTTTATAAAAAAAGGGAGAAATTGTTTCTGTTATTTTAGTTTTACTTAATTTAACATTCTTTTCCTTTTCTTCTAACTTAACTATTGCCTTTAAGGTTTTCTCCTCATAAAACTTAGTGCCTGCCATTTGCTTAACAAAATCAGACATCTGTGCTTTACTCATGTTAATTAGTTTAGTGACTGATCCTTGTTGTATAGAATAGAAGGATGTCTCTGACAGGTTGTATTCTGCAAGGAATTTGGTGTAGGAATGTGTTGTGACCGTTGAATTATTTATTTTAAATTTGTTTATTCTTGTTACTTTGTCATATGTCCTAGTTATGCTATTGTTATCACTGAATTTTAAGGTGACTGTTGTATTTTTGCATGTTACATTAACTAAGTCAGCTGGGGAATCTGTTCCATTTAGTGCAAATAAAATAGCTGTTATTATTGAAGACTTGCCAGAACCATTGCTACCTGTTACAGTTGTTAAATGGGGACTAAATTGAATTCTTTGTGAAGAAGGATATGCTTTAAACCCTGTGAATGTTAATTCTTTTAAATGCATAGGATAAGGATTTTATTTATAATTTAATGCATAAATTTACTTAATAATTATTTGAATTAATTACATGAAAATATTTAAATTCTTAAAGAATTATAAAAATATAATAGAAAAAGATTTTTATTAAATCCTATTTAAATATTTTATTGGCCATATTGTTTCATCAAGCCTTCTAATGGTAGCGTGGCCGAGCGGTTAAGGCGGTTGACTTAAGATCCACTTCTTCATAGAGCGTGGGTTCAAATCCCACCGCTACCATTTTTACTTATAATCTTTCTCTTCTAAACTATGATCTAATTCAGAAATTTTTTCAATTCTTAAATGACACACATCATCAGATTCTATCCTTAAAATATATGAATATTCATCAATAAATGGAATGGAATCTTTTAAAATATTTTCTTTACTTACTTTCTTGCATATTCCAATTGGTACTTCTTTCTTTCTGTTAAAATGTTTGTGTTTATTAAGTAGCCAATACTCATTGGTAGAATTATTCCGTCTTGTTAGATTATAATTATTATCTTTAAAGAAAAAGTACATTTCATATTCTTTCAATGGTGGTTTATTAAATAAATATAACATCTCTTCTAAATCAAATTGAATGATATTATTGATGTAGGTACCAAAATGTCTGTGATGATTGTGCAATGAGTGTGTTGAAATATATTTATTATCAAGCAATTTAAATCCTTCAAATTCTTCCTTTGTACTTTCTTCATTCATTTATATTTTTTGAGCCAATTAATAAGTATTTTAAATAAAAATATTTGTTTAATAAGTATTTTAAACTAAAATATAGGATTATGAATTAAATTTACAGAGGTCTTCGTTCTTAAATTTACTATTGCTTATTTAATTTAAACAATCCTTTAAAAATATTACATTAGAATATTTAAACCGATCTTTAACTAGAAAATCATTATTTATAAATAATTAAGAACAAGAAGTTCGAATAAAAAATCAATGTTTGGGGAAATGGTTAGTAACAATGCAAAAAAATGTGCAAATATTTGTTACCGACATATCAAAATTCTGATTATTAAATTCTATTTTAGTTACACATAAATATAAATGCTTTAATATATAAGTTTTTTAAAGACTAATTGTTTGAAGGAATATCCTTTTATCTCTTTAATTATTCTTTTTAAATAAATTTTCATGAAAAAACCAATCAATAATAAAAATCTGTTTTTTAAATACAAATTCATAAGAATATGAAACCATTTTACCTATGAGACATATTAAATTTATATTTCCATTGTAGAAAAACATTAGATTATCATAATTAGAAAAAAACCATATAATTTTATAAACGATCAAATAATTCATCCTGGTATAAAAAAATTTATTTTTTAGAAGGTAGATAATGTAAAATAGAACAATCACATTTTGAACATTATAATAAAAACTTATATTTTAATAAAACACAGTTAAGAAATATAATAATGCCAATTTAAAAATATATATTAAATATTTTATACTATTAAATTTTTCATCAGTCAACAAACCTACAAAATAATCGCATTGTTCCCGTTTCTTTGAGATTAAACAATCCTGAATCACATTCATTACTATTTAATAAAATTTTCATCAGTATAAATTATATAGAAGATCTTTTTCCTTCATTTATATTCTCAAAATCTTTGTATAATAGAATCCTTCTCATCTTGCATAAATAGGGCGTTTCGTTTTTTCCAAGTTGATCTCTCATCTGATTAAGGATAGAATATGTTATTTATACTATAAAAACCATATTGAAATTAGGCTACTTCCCCGTATAGTTCCGTAAGTAAATTAGTGGGGATATTGAGGTGGGGACGCATCAGGAATTTTAATTTTTTAAAGTTAAAATAGATAGAAAACAAAAAATAATCAATTAAAAGTTAATTTTATTTAAAGAATCAGCTAGGTTTTCAATTAAATTTTTCAAAGCTAAATTTTTATACTTTCATTTAAATACAAATGCTGCAAAATATAAAGTCAAATCCCTTTTTCTTGATATATATCTCGATTTTTATTTTTTTTATGATCACTCCATAAACCTTCAATCATTTAGTGTTGCAAAAAATTAAAGGACTTACAAAATTCTCAAAGTGAGTAGTTATAAAGCCTATAATTCAAGTTCTTTGATTAATATAGCCTCTCCAGCAATCATATAAATAACTTTTCCAATTTCTACGTTATCAAGGATAATTTGTGATAACGTTGCAGAATCTCCTTTAATAATTTCAACGAAAAATGAATCCCTTGTTATAACCTCTACATCATCGACAACCCATAATAATGTTACAATCCTACCAATATTGTACTTTCGCTTTGAGAATACACCTTCATCCATTTCAAGAATATTATCTTTGCCTCCTATTTTTTTCTATTTTCGTTTTCCATCATTATTTATGAAACTTTCTGCAATTTTTCGTGCTATTTAGAATAGGTTTTTTACTTCTTGTGCCTATTTCTATTGTAATATCACTCGGCTTTATATTTTTACACCTTGCACTTAAAATATATGATATCTGTTATTTTTCAAAAAGATATTTTGCTTTTATAAATAATTGTTCCCTCAAATAACGCTTTACAATTTTCACATTTACCACAATAGCAATAGTATCTATCATTTTTAAAAAGGCATTATCATTCTTTGATTGGGCACACATAAACAATCCTTTGTAATTAATATACTTTAATTTCTTGTAATCATTTTGGCTTCTTTTTGTAATCCGCCGTAATCTTTACTAATTCTCTGTGATTCATGGATGTGATGATCTTTAGGAATGCCGACTCGGTTATTCAATGCTGCATTTGGGGCAGCGGGAGCTTTTTTAAGAATAAACTATTTCTTTTTAATGATTGTTTATTTAAACTATTTTTTTCCATATGGGCTTGTTGCATTTCCTTTTTATCCTTTTGTTTTTAATAGATCTAAATTCAAACTGATTGATCTAAATTAATTTTAATTTAATTTAGACCTTAATTTAATTTGAATTTAGATCAAAAATGCAACA